CACTGAACTATATAGTAAAACTCTTATTACCTTTAATGAAGATAGGATTTTCATGTCAAGTCATATGTCCCAGTGATATCCCTATGTTATTGTTTTCTTACTTTGGGAGGTTAAGGCCGTATGTGCAGATGTAGGAGCAGCAATTCCATGTAACTTAGTCAGGAAAAATCCTTTGTATCAAGAAAGGTCCTTTTTAGGCAAAAGATCTAATAGTGACCCCCTTGCTCACTAGCGTTTGCTACTGAACAGAAAATTCACTGTGTTGATGCCACAGATGTTTTCATAAGCACTGAAAAGAAAACAATATGTGTCTGCTCTTAGAACATTCCTTACCTCAGTATGGAAGAATTGCCTTGTCCATTCAGCTTTACTCAGACTTCTCTGTCTCAGGATAGAGATGTGGAAATATCTTTATGCAGCCCTTGATATCTTGACATGCTCCAGTATACAAAAGGCAGGGACAGAAGTACTCAGATCATAACAAGTCATGCTGGTCAGCGTATGACAGATATTTCAGGACAATAAAGCCCAGGACTTTGACATAGAAACTGAGCCAGAATCCAGCAAATTTATTTATTTACTCATTTACTTACTTATAAAGTCTGGGGGAAACAGTACTTGGAAGAAAAGAAAGACTTCTGTATATCTTTGTAGATTAAGTAAAAAGTAACCATAACCTTAAATTGTATTAAATATAGCTTTAGAGATTTATAATTGCTATATAGATGTTTCCCATGTGGGTAGGTTAAACACGTTGTTTTGTAAGTCTAGAATCTCAGAAATTTTTAGGCACTGACAATATAATACTCCTGTAATAATTCTTCTAGTGATAATATTACAGAGTGAAAACAGGATCTTTTCTCTTGAGTGAAATTTTGTGGCCTTAATACAGCAAAGACTCCAAGAATATGTAAACAGTTATTAATATTATGCTTGTCAGCAGTCCCACCAACATCACTGAAGAGTCTAAAACAGGACAGAATGGTGATTCATCCCTGCACTTTAGAGAAATGCTTTGAAAAACATCATAAATCAACATGAGGGTTCACAAACTTATAGTGAAGTGTGATAAAGTGCTTTACTGAACTAGAACTAGTGTTTTCCAGTATCTTATAAAACCAAACACTGTAAAACATCAAACATTTGACACAAGAATTTTCATATTTGATGTGTTTAACCTTAAGAACATTGGTAACAATCATTTGGACAACTTTGTGAAAGGACTTTTTTTCAACTTTTGAAGATTTGAGGCATTAATTTCTAAAGCATTTTCAGTGGTTACAAAAGAAAGAGGCTGATGGGCTTTGAAGAAAGGCAGTGAGATCTTGAGGTTTTTTCTATATATAAAATGTCGTGGTGACCCAATGTTGACATTCTTTCCAAAAGATGATGGCCTGTCTCCACTTGTTCTTGCTTGTGGGAGCAGAATGGTTCTGTGCAACAAATAATAGCCCTGACTGCCTAGTCATTCCCCTCATAAGGGGGAAAGCTGGAACACGCTGTGACAACCCTTCTGTGCATTCACCCAGGGTTTTTTTCCAAAGAGAAACCCCGTTGCAGAAGGTACAGGGGAAAAGTTCAATATCATGAAGTCAGGATGCAACTACTGGACATCTAGATGAGAGATTTAAAAAATAGTCTCAGGTCCCACAGTGCCTACTCCTTTGCAGCTGAGGAAGCAGAGAAACAAAACTAGGGAAGAATAAATTGCTGTGCTTTTACTCACTTATCAAAGAAATCAACAAGTGTTATTTGACATGAACTAATAACTAATCAAAAAGTCAAAATTAAATCTAAATATCTCAATTTTTTTTAATCACAATTTTTCTGAAAAAAAACATCTTTGCTTGGTAAATAGTTTCCCTCTTTTATGTACTTATATTATTATAGGATAGGAATATGTTCGTGTGTTCTTGAAAACAATCTTTCTACAGTAAAGACTTACTGTGACATGATCATTGGATGAAGACATCTTAAAAAAAAGGAGCTCTGAAGCTTGATTCTACGGCTTGTCCTTTGTCTGTAATTACAAAAGTTCCATCATCTCATAAGGGATTTGTCACATTTCTTGATGAAAATTTGTTGGAAATTTTTCTTTATTTATCTCTAGCATTAAAATATAAGAGTAGTTTACTTCAGAGATATGTGGTGAAATGTATATTGTTTTCAATCTCGCACTTGCTTTCGGTAAGTTACAACAAAAGTTTTTGATGACAAAGTACTTTGTCAGTTATTTGTATGATTATCCATTTGTCTGGTTGTCCTTTCTTCTTCAAACCAAATCACACAAATTCTTCCCAGAAATAATCATAGCAAACCTAATCCAAATTACCATGCTTAAGCAACTAATAAAATCACTAAGTAACACTGTTGACACCTCCTGTGACAATCCTGAGATATTGTTTGACTAAATTACTAATTAAATACATTACAACTAACATCACCATTTCCTAGACATTCAGAAATATTTAGAAATTCGAATACCTCAGAGTTTTTGAAGTGAGTTCCATTCTATCTTAAGCTATGCTTGTATGGAAATTAAGATTTTATTTTGCTAACTTTCAGTGGGAATTGCCTAGTGACAGAAATTAGCACTGCTGTAAAAATTGAACATTTGTACAGAACAATATTACCCATTGTAACTTCTTTATTAACACTTGTTGAAGTGTTACTTCACTCTTTAAAACCTATTTTGTTCAAAATCGTAAAAGATCATTCCTTTTATACATGTGGACTGTCATTCTAATACAGTTTGCTTTTCATGGATATTTTTCCCCTCCTTTTTTTAATGTAGAATACCTTTTGATACCTTTAGAGTTTTCACTGAGACTGGATCTTTAGAGTTCTGAAAACAAGAAATTGGGAACTAATTATTCTTATTCAAATAATAAATGAGATGTGAAATGAGCTTCATGCTGGATGAATTCCCTGGAGAGTGTTTAATAATAGCTTATGAAGTTTGCAGAATTACAGCTGGCAAATTAATTTAAGTGGTCAATGTTTAACCACAGGTGCAGAGAGTCTATATTCTATATTGAGGCACTAACTCATAAATTGGTCTTACTTTCAGTTTTAAGTCTATACCTACAACTTTGTGTTGGTAACAAGTTAATGCTATATGCCAAAGCATCACACTCCCTAGGTACATAAATAAATTAAAAAATTATTTTGGGTGGGGACATTTTACCCAATACAATCCCAATCATCATCTTAACAGTACAGAGGTATTCTGAATTCAATTACCCCTATAGAACTGTGTCCTGCCGCTTCTAGCTTTGGATAATTTTAATATCTTTATAACACATTCCTGCCTAAGTTCCATGAGTGTAACTTTCTCAAGGGAAGACAATTAGTGTAGTTTTGAGGGTACTTGGGTCTGTCTCAGTAATAATTCTGTAAGAAATAAAAGCCTCTTGGTCTGAATTTAAATAATAAGCAATCAATTATTAGTAGTTAATCTTTCATGCTTTGAAAACAAAAGTTATATATGAACTGCTGTGTGATCGCCAGTGAAAATTACACTGGAAGGAGTAATTTTGAAATAATAAATTTTTGTGCATGGCATTTCCAAATAGTAGATGTCTTGGCTTGTCCTGTTTCTAATAATTTTATTAATATTGGTACCAGTAATGTAGCATTGCTGCCATTTTAATCCAAACAGGAAACAAAAGACCATGGTAATATTGTAAAGTATATTTCTGGGTATTCTGTGGTAAAAATAAGAATTCCATACTTAGATGAGAGCAGTAAGAAGCAATTGTGTCATTTACTGTTGTCATTCACGTTAGATATATTTTATACTAAAATAACCTATCTTCAGCATATTTACAGTAGGGGACATATGCCTGTCTTCTTTAAACATATTTATTTTATCTAATGGACATCATGTATAAATGATGTGTCATCGTTTTTATTTACTCTAGTGTTGTCAGCATCAGTAATAAATCTACTATTCACATGCAATTTTGGAATAGCAGAAAAAGTGCAAATAAGTAAACTGAAATTAAAAAAATATTAGAACTGTCAGTACTGTGAAGCATGACTGCCATGTTTTTTCCACTATTTATCTTTATTCCTGGATAGGAATTTTCTGTTGAACTGAGGAACAAACTGTGAAAAATACATTAGAAATTTTATGCAGCATTTCAGAATATTCAGGAAGCTTGAATGTATGTGTATAGCATGTGGCAGAAGTATTTTAAAAAATAGCAAAGAAATAACTTTAACATTTGAACTCCATTGGATCAGCAAAAGCATCCATTTTCTTTTTTCAAACTGCATGGTTCAAGAAGGCATTTTTATTTTTATCAATAGATATTTATTAATTAATTAAAATAAGAAAATTCTTAGTAAATCTTTCCCTAATCACCTGCTTGGATATTTACCATTCAGCAACAATCAGAAGAAAAGAGGCTTATTTAGTATTTCAAAGAGTATTTCACGAACACTAACCTCTTCCATTCCTTAGCAGTAGACAATAACGAGAAAGTGAACAAATAGAGCATTGACAACTCTAATGAAATAGTAGAAAATTTATATTTAAAATGTTCCATAGCTCTTCTCTAAACTGCTCAATTGTTTTCATCACACTGGTATTTGTGTAAGAGTCTATAATTTATTCAAATGAATGTTACTGTATTTAAGCATGATTAATGTTATTGCAATAAGAACCAAAAGGAGCTAATCATAATATGCCATTTATGATAATGTCTTGCCATCATTTTATATCACAATGGTGTTTCAGTGAATTTACACCATTGTGAAGCCAATCATTCTGTTACAGTTCACTGTGATTAATGTAACCACCAGTGAAAGCTGATAATAATTAACCTCTTTCATAAAGTGTCTCTAAATAGAATATATCCCCTAGAATAAATTTAATTTCATTTTAAGTGTGAAACATGGCAAATGACTCCTCTATCAATTCATGTTAAATATTTAATGAGTAATGGAAGTCTACTATCCACTGAAAAATGCTTTTGTAATTCTTATTCCCCTAGATCTTGGTGGAAGGTACTGTAGGCGATGGTTTCACTGGAGACATTGGACTTGACGACATGTCTTTTCTAGGCTGTACTCTTTACAATGGTAAGAGCTGAAGTCTACAACTCCTAGCTGTGAGCTGATTCATTGCTGTTATTTCTAAATATTGCTACTAGAAAAGCAAAACCCAGATCAAACTCATGCTTGATAAGGAAATCAGACTTGTTTCCCTGCTTCCCTCATATCCAGGCATCAGCACAAAAATAGTTGCTGCTGTGCAAGTGAGGCCCAAAACAGATCCTCAGTGAGAAATGTGCAGCTTCCAAACTCTGTGAGATCTTTATTCCTAAAAGGAAAAAAAAATTAACCATGTGTAAAAAAACTAAACTTTCATTCAGCCTGTTCAGTTTGATACAACCTCCCACCACCCCTCAATAATTCTTAATGTATTCACTGTCAATTGCTCTCACGATAGCACACAAATAGTTCAGTTGATAGAGCAACCTGTCCTCAGAAATCATTGTTACCAAGTCTAGTACAATGTCTACAGAGTTGTAAAATATTATACCTCAAAATACATGTACTTCAAGACACCAGACATAAATCCTTCATTGCAGAAGGAATTTTAAGAGGACTGCTGTTAGCTGCAACAGGCATTACAGGGTTATGTGTGGTATGGCAGTTGATGTAAAGTCATGGTAGGGCTGTTCAACAGCAAACAACTCAGACCAGTGTCGAAATATAAGCATCCTAGCACTAACTCTAAAACACCCTAGTGTAGATGCATTTTTGCTACTCCAGAAATTTCTTTTTGATATAACTATGTATACTAGGAATAAGAAGTGCGCACGGTATTTCTTTTGCAGATAATTATCCCACTTTTTAGCAAATTTATACAACACAACATTTATTATAACGTTTTGAATATAAAGGGTTTTTTTTTACTGAGTTAATGTACAATGCCTTATATCTGAGGAAGAATGTCTTGAAAGAACAAATCAGAAAATTCCTAAATATTTTCAAATGAGTTATGAAAGAAAATTTTCATAGAATACGCTGAATTGGACAGAACACACAAGGATCATCAAAGTCCAGTCCTTAGCCCTGCACAGGACCCTCCCCAAGAGTCACACCATGTGTCTGAGAGTGTTGGCCAAATGCTTCTTGAACTCTGTCAGGCTTGGTTTTGTGACCACTTCCCTGGGGAGCCTGTTCCAGTGCCCAACCACCCTCTGGGTGAAGAACCTTTTTCTAACAATCAACCTAAACCTCCCCTGACACAGTGTCAGGCCATTCCCTCAGGTCCTGTCACTGGTCACCACAGAGAAGAGATCAGTGCTTGCCCCTCCTCTTCCTCTCATGAGAAAATAGTAGATTGCAATGGTCTCCCCTTCTCCAGGCTGAACAGGCCAAGTGACCTCAGCCGCTCCTCATACGGCTTCCACTCAAGGCCTTTCACCATCTTCATTGCCCTCCTTTGGACACTCTCCAGTAACCTAATATCTTATTTATAATGCTGTGCCCAAAACTGCACACAGTTGCTCCAGGTGAGGCTGCACCAGTGGGTAATAGAACAGGACAATTACTCCCTTACCCAGTTGACAATGCTTTGCCTCATGCCCCCAAGGGTCATGGTCGGCCCTCCTGGCTGCCAGGGCACTGCTGACTCATATTTAAGTTGCCATCAAGCAGGACCCCCAGATCCCTTTCCATGGCACTGCTTTCCAGCATCCCATTCCCCAGTCTGTACATATATCCAGGGTTACCCCATCCCAGGGGCAGAATCCAGCACTTCCCCTTGTTAAACTTCCTATGGTTGGTGATTGTCCAGTCCTCTAATTTGTCAAGGTGTCTCTGTGGGGCCTCCCTACCTTCAAAAAAGTCAACAGCTCCTCCCAGCTTTGTGTCATTTACAGACTTGCTTAGTATCCCTTCCAGTCCTGCATCCAAGAGATTTATGAAGATGCTGAAGAGCACAGGGCCTAAGATGGAGCCCTGCAGAACCCTTCTAGTGTCAAGTCTCCAGTGTGATGTTACCCTATTTACTATTACCCTCCGTGCTCCACCCATGAGCCATTTGCTTACCCAGTCCATGATGTGTTTATCCAGCTGTGTGCTGGACATTATGTCCAGAAGGATACTGTGAGAGAGAGCAAATCGAATGAGAAATTTGGAAAGCATAGAGGGTCAGAGTTTCAAAGTTCATAAATAAGAAAAAAAAGTTCATTTTTTATGGAAAGATAAAAAAAAAAACTAAAGTAATGTGGTGGGCAGGAATCAGGGTTTGTGTTCTGTATATTTTAAAAATATTTTTAGTTTTGGAGCAATTTTTGAGGCACTCCAGGGTCCTGCCTTTATTTTATTTCCTCCATGCCATAAACATATCCCAACAACCAAAAAACAGTCAAAGAGACTGTGGGAAAAGTCTGAAAAAATAGACAACAAATACAGCATATTCCACCATATTTAACACAAGTTAAATAAGGCTGAAAAAGCAGGGTTTCCATATCCCTTCACCCTAGAATTAATTACTAGCTACCCAGTTGCTCTTGTTCCACTTTAAATAACCAAAATATTGACCAGGAAGAGATGGGCTTGATAGCTTGGTGGTAAAGTCCCTCAAAAGTAATATGAAAGATGTTGAATTTTGAGCATACCCCTTCAATACATTATTTGAATGCCCTAACCAAAGATTTTTCAATGATGCTTTTTCTGGACAATGGTATTTCATAAACCTCAAAAAATTAATTGTTTCAGAATAGAGAAAGTGTCAGATCTTCCTTTCTCCTCAGGTGTAGTAAAGGTTACGGTACTTCAGATTTCTTCTCCCATTCTGGTGGATTAGTAGACTTGAATGTGGCATTTATATTTAAAATTTTTTGACCAATAAGGTCTTTGCTATTATTATGAGCTCTAGATAAATATATTAATTCATACAATTCTTCCTTCAGAAGGATCCTTTCCCTAAGTCTTTTGTTTGAATCTTAGGATATTATGGGAGTACCATTCATCTGATTGGAGTGTAATTTATTTGTCATAGATTTGCTTTCTACCTTCTGAAATAGAGATGGCTCCTGTTTGTGGGTAATTTATTATCATTCTTAGTGCTCCAGGCTTCAGGAAAAAAAAAACCAAAACAAACTCAAACCGGAAAAACCCTCCTTACTGTCCCAGACACATTTAATATAAAAAGTCTTCACATGTACTTTTTAATTAACTCAGGTGTATTGCTCAGGTGCATTGTGCACTACAGCTTATAATTTCATTAGAGATTAAATTTTAAAAAGGAGTTTTATAATGAAAATTCCTTTTATGGACAGTAATAGCAAAGGCTTTTAAGAAATGAGAGTAAGCCTGAAGAAAGGTGCATAGTAGAGTATAAGAGGAAAAGAAAAGAAAATTGATTTGAAAGAAGTGGTAATGAGTTTGAATGAAGCATAAAGGAGACGGTGGAACAAGGTGATGACCTCAGAATAATTTCTTTAATGAGAAAAGAATTTTTTTTCAGTGATGAATTTATAAGGTAAGAAGGTTACATAGTAATTTCCACAGTCAGTTGTAGTAATCGAAGTGTTAAAAAAAACCCATTATCATCAGAATAATCTGTTAGCCTTGGTTCACAGGGAAAATAAGTTTCTGTGATTGTTTTTCAGTTTTGGAGGCATCAAGTTTTTGAAATGACTCACTCAGTTAATCCAAATTTGAAAGACAGGTGAAAGGTGTAAATAAACCCCTGCAAGTATCGAAAACTGTATGGATCGCAGTTGGCTGGCATGGCAAAACTAGTGCTTTCCACTGAGGAAATGTTCAATTTAGCTCCTGCTGAGCAGCATTTAAGTCATTCAACTTGACTGTCCAGGCATGTTTCCAGTAAATCTATACCCTTGTCAAAGGGTGGGAGTGGCAATCATTATGAAGCTAGAACGCCTTCATCCAGGCATTTAATAGTCTGTTGCTTTCTTTTTCAAAGGAAGCTTGCCCACTATCTCTACACCTACTTCAGGAACTTCAGTTCCTGCCACACTCCCCATGAACAACTGCACAGAGAAGGAGTTTGTCTGTAGAGCCTCTGGCCGCTGCATCCAAATGACCCAGAAGTGTGATTTTAGACCTGACTGCTCCGATAAGTCTGATGAATCAGATTGTGGTGAGTGTATGAAATCTTGTACTTTGTTGTCTTAATAGTTTCTGGCTGATAAACACATTGCTTTAGCTGCTATGTGTTTACCTTTGGAATTTGGTATTAGCATCAAGATGCTATTTTTAATATTATTTTCCCCAGAAAAAATAATAACATTTTGCTCTTAACATGGGAATTTAAGATGTTATGCACTTTCTGCCTTATGATTCAGACTTGACATTTCAAGTAGTTAGTGAAATGTGACAGGGGAAAGAACCCTCAGTTCTATAATGATCGGTAGCTGTACATGACAATTTTAAGTCAACATTGTTTCTTAAAATGTTCACTAGTCCAGACTGGAAGAGAGAGTAGGTTTACTGTCTCGTGTTTCGGATGGACATCTAGGAGAGTGGGATGCACTTCTTACCTACTTTAATAAATATGGGGTTTGTTTTCTTGTTAAGGTTTTGGGGTTTTTTTTGGTGGTGGTTGTTGTTGTTTTTTCGTTTTTTGTTTTTGTTTTCATACGAAGTAGTTGCAGCAGCATCAATGATTATGAAATTCAGCCTATTCCACACAGAAGTGAGTTACAGCCTGTAAAGCTCTGGTAGTGAGATGGGAACATTGAAAGTGAGACAATGGACAAGGTCCCCATATGTTGTCCATAAAGGTCTAAGACAGTTGTTGATTGCTTCTGAGCTGCAGCAGTTCACATTAAAGCATTTTAGAAGAAGCTGTTAACGACTTTCTTTTGCCTCAAAGCATAGTACTTGAAAGTACTACTTTACGGAAGCCGATTAATGAGGGGGGACAAACATCAGAGAGTGACCTCATCAACCTTTGCAAGCAAAACTATGGTCACCGAAGATCAAAACTCTGAATTCATTACCCTTTGTGTGGGGAACTCAATTACCTATCTCAGGGCTGAAGGCTCAGTGAGAAGTAACTCTGAACTCGCTATGTCTATTTCTTATGTGGGAATAACTGGAAGAAATGAATCTGATGTATAAATATCACTGGCTAGTTTCCTGTAGTGGGAAAAAACACTAATCATTGAAATGTTGCCCTGCAAAATAAAGCAGACCCCTCTGAATAGAACTTTTATTTTTCCCCTCAGAAATTTGCATTATCTTACAAAGCATCCTTTCCTTCTGAGCAAGATAAATACTGTGTAGAATTAACCTTTACATATTGGCTTTGTGTGACCTCTACCATCACTAAGATGGCAATTAATCATTCAAATGACAATACTGGAATAGGAGTTAAGTATGTCCTGACTGAAATTGAAAAATATTCTAAGGAAGGTGTTATCTTTATCAGAGGCACTTGAAACATAATGTTTACAAAGCACCTTTAAAAGGGGCATAAACTCTTAATGCTGTACCACTCCTCATTTTCAGGAAACATCACAAATCTTTATATGGGCACCTCCTGAGATCACACTGGCTTCAGTTTGCTTCCTTACTGAGGATATACAATCTTTAAATCAAAACTCTCTCGCTCCTTAGTCTACCATTTTTACCCTCCAAGGAAAGAAACATCAGGCACATTCTCCTAACAAACTATGATTTCTTGATGAAGCATTAAAACTTCATGGGTTAAAATAAATTCTCATTTACCTTGCATAATTCCCACAGTGGTCACTTAGACTTCAGTATAATAACCTGTTCCAAAGTTCTGGAGAGTGACTAGACTCAACTTGAATCATGTAGACAAAGTTTCTGTAAAATACTCAGTAAGAGTATTCATAGCAGAAATGGAAAATATGTGGCTTTTTTTTCCTCTAAGGAAGGTCAGTAGCAGCTCACTTTTCTTACCCAGTTGTTCCAGAACCAAAACCTCAGTGATTGGCAGCTGCATATTTACTTAATAAGATAACAATTCAGTATTTGACACCAGTACCAAATAGCTGTCTGAATATTGGGGGTTTTTTTTAGAGTTTTGGTCATGGACTTTGTGCACAATGCACAATGATTTGCTAATGTCATCAGTTTACCGGACTGAAGAAAGAACCCCACAGCAGCTCACAGATTTGCAGCTGATGAATTTTACACTCCTTTCCACAT